TGTATAAGAGAGGCTTGGCTAACCTTGAAATTGACGTCTGCCCTGTGACCCACTGGCACCCGTGTCAACGTCGAGTATTTCAACACGTGGAAAACATACGATGCCCTAATTGGGTACAAGTCCCGTTGTGGCTTCTAATGAGACCGATTCAGGCGAGGCCGAAACTTTTAAAAGGCAATGCTAAATGAAATGAAATAGTATCCCTAGGCATACACATATTGTTCCCTTTTCGTCTTTTGCAACCTATGGTGAGTACAGTTCTCATGCAAAAAGGAGGTCTCTACAAAAAAAGGCCCAAGGGATTCATTCTACTCGCTCGCCCAACAGGCTGTACCTTTGGCCAGGTGATAAGCTTGTGCAACATCGTTCTAGAACCAGGCAATAACCACTAATTGGGTCAAATAGCTACAGACTTCTCTACTGATGCTCTTTCGTCTGGTGTGAGAGGGGGACAAGGTAGAAAGGGAAAACATGAAATGATGTCATAGTCTCACACTGCTAGTTTTACCGGTTGGGTTGGATTTCGTTCGAGTTTCATTAACTCGGACCATTTGTTGACTCATCTGCTGGTGCTGGTCAGCCCTCGAATTGACTAAGCTGCATTTATGACCAAGAAACTGGTCGTCTGCCGGTCTTGCTTGGTGCTTGGCGGACGACACAGTTGGCGCTGGCAGATTCAAATATGGATAGGCGATGCAGTCTGTGGTAATGAACACCTCATCAACAACAGTAAAGCCCGAGTTTTTGCCCAAATTTTGTGGTGTTGCTGCTCCGCCATGCTGCCAGACACCCTCAGGCGCTGGGTTATCTTGGGGGTCCAAACTAACTTGGCTTCCAGACGCCACCAACGTCTCTACCTTCTCCAGCGTGTCGTCTACGGCATGACTACCAAGGCTTTTGTCTCGGCCACTTACGAGGCTGATGTTTGCGTCTGTCACGGTTGATGGCATTTCAGTAAGCTTATTGCTGATGGATGAATTGCGGGACAGGGTACCCGACCTCTTGTAGGCAGATGTGATGGGCCAAGATTCTGAGCGGACAAGGTCAAGTTTTGCACTGGTACAAGGTAGGCTGTCGGAGACCTGGGATCGTGGAAATCCGGCGAAGGAGCCGAGAGGAGAATAAGTCGAAATGGTGCCTTTCCGGTTGGTGAGAATGCAGAAACGGGCCAGGGAGTCGGACGACCGACTATTCAAAGCCGTTCTTTCCTCTG